AACGGTAAAATTTCCTATAGATTAATGTACCTAGATACTTTCCGTCAGTATTTGTGGTCTCTCTGTTAAAAGTTGACATTTCACTTTGGTTTCTGTGTGTGACTCTTGCCTAAAGTTTTCGCCTGCCACGTGACCTTTCCGGGGTTAAGAGTGGGGTTTCCACTAATGTGACTTGAGACGCCCACTCAACTCGAAGGGGGTGTGGGTTCTTGGAGGGTCAAACGAAAAGTAAATACTTGTATTTTTCAATGTAAGTAACTGAAAACCCTTTTTATGGCTTAGGGCCAAGTCCCTTTTGCATTAGCCCACATGTGGGTCCGGGGGGTTGTTTATTTTTTGGCTTTCCTTGTGAGACATGACTGAACTTGTGCGGATTGATTTGTTTATCCCTTGTATTTTGTTGGCTACAAATGAGTTGGGTTACCCTTTTCTATGGAGAAAAAGTCTCTATAATCACAGGCTTGAGGAGTTACATAAGAAAGGGAAACATGAACCACTCTAATCAGCCTAATTGGAGAGGGAAATCAGCGAGGAAAACCCTATCGTAATCCCAAATTAACCACAATAAAACATTAAAAATCTGCACACAGGAAAATAACAAAATAGCCCCTTAATTTTTGTGGCTCGCTTTCGAAAGGACTTGTTTGTAGATATCCTTTTTAAGTTGTATTGAACTTTAATGTATTTTATAAAATATAGCTTAATTTATTATTACAAAACGTAAAAATTAAAATCTTTAAACCTGTTTCAATATTCAGAAATTTATTTACAGTATTCGTTCTACTTGTAGTTAGCTTCATTTATAGCGTGCTGTACGAACCCTTTATTAACTGTCATTAAAAACAATTATTCCCTAAAACATGGAGAAGAATAGGTGAGAAAAAGGAAGAGGCTAATTCAATTTTAGTTTCGCTTATCTAATGAAGTTCATCTGCATTCGGGGTGTTATTTTTAGCCTTTATTCCATTTTAATTACATTAAATTACATATTCCAAAAACAGACACGACACCAGAACAACAACAACAAAATCACTTTCTAACAAAAGAGTGGGAGCAGGAGAGAAATAAAGATTGACAGTGAGAGAGAGAGAGAGTAAAACGTCAAAGTTCGTTCACTTGTAAACATAAAATGAGCGGCAACTGCAAAACAGCAGCAATTCCAACAACAAGCGGCAAACGGAAACCGACTGAGCAACAACAATGGAGCCAGAAGCCAAGACATATATGCACTGAAAAAAAATTATTCCGAACTCAAGAGAATTTCCACCTTTGTATGTAAAAAACTCTACACTACTTAATAATATTTTTCCAAACAAAAATAAAAAAAAGGCAATTTAAACTTTCTTTAAAAAAGTGGTTAATACCTCCTCAAAAAATCCATAAATGTATTTGCGTTAATTTTTTAGATTATCGGACCCAAAATATATTGTTGCCTACTTATACGCTTTTTAATATGGGGTTTAAAAGCACTAAGGATTGTAACATCTTTATATTATCAACATTGAGTCCTTTTATGCGCATTTTCTTTGAGTGTATTTAGTGGGGCTGTCAGAGGAGAAAAGAATGACGGAGAAGAAAGAGCCTTTTTATGCGGCTCAACTTTGGCGCTTTTTATTAAACAAGCCGACGAAGTGTAGAAGCGAAGAACAAGCAAAATTGAGGGAAAGGTGGTGGGGCAGAGCATAAAAGGTGAAGCCAAGCCAAGAAGAGAGCTGAGAAAAAGAGCATAGAATGAACATTATTGCCGGCTAAACCGGTAACACTTGTTTATCAGAGAGGCAGAAAGAGAGAGGAGAAGAGCGTGCGAGAGAGCCAGTTATATGCTGCTGAAAGAGATATGTTAAGTACGGTGGGAAAGAGAGAGCCTGATCGAAGAAAAGGGTTCTACAGGTGACAAAGACAAAAGACTGAAGACTCCTCTAATGTCATCATTATTGTCAATATAACAAGTTTATTGACTGGCAGCAGATGCTCAACCCCCCACAAGCCCCTTTCTCGGCCCACCAAGGGGTCATTAGAGAAATTCCGGGCATAAGTTCTCTTAACTCATGCTAAAGCGCAGATTAAACGCAAGTTAATGACTTAATTAACTGCCGAGCAAAAAGCAAGCAAATAAAACAAACGACAAAAAAAGCTTAGATAAAGATAAATGATAGATGCAAGTGCGCGGAGAAATTGTCGGCGATAAAAATTGTCGCAGAAAATCAAGGAAATTAACGCGTGCAAATATGTATTTCCATGGGCAAAGAAAGGGGGAGGAGAGCAGTCATAGCTCTATTCCCGACCTAATGTCTTCTAACGGCACTTGCGACAGCTGAAGAAAACCCAAAGCGATAGAACAATGGAAAATGTAACGGACATCGATGGATTGATAAAAAAAGATAAAAGGTGCGATGACCTAAGCATCTTAAACCTATGAAATTTTAGGAAATACTAAAATTAAAATTAAAGGAAGAAAGCATTTGTGTAGGTTTTAATAATTCTATAGTTAAGACTTTGAGGTATTTCCATTTTCTATTAAATCTTTCTTAAATAATAATGATAAATATAAAACAAATTTAGCTTGTTGATCCCAAAAGCAATCCACAGAAAGGTACACATCCGCCAACATCCCCTAAATTTGGGCAGAGCTTCCGCCTCCTGATTTTATATTTTCCCTATCAATAGCATAATCATTTTAAATTCTAATTAATTTTCCCGCTCCCCATTTAGTTGTTTGTTGATGTTTCTTTTTCTGTCGGCTAATCAACAGGAGGCCGAGAAATTGAGAAGAGACAGAGTGCGAGAAGGACAGCATCCAAACAAATGGCATAACCACCCTGTCTTTCGCTCTGCTCTCTCCGGCTCTCTTTTTCTCCCACCGAGAGTGTCAAATTCAAGGTCGCCCCCAGTGCATATAGCTGAATAGACCCACGGAGCGAAAGAGCGCATATTCAGCGTGGGAGCGACAGACAGAGAGAGAGAGAGAGAGCGGCTTTGTAAGACCCCTGTGTTTTGGACCCGCCGACGCACAGTGGCGCCTTGGGCCAAAAAACGTGCAATAAATCACTTTTTCGACTTTGTCCTAGAAAGTTGTGACCCATACCAATCGACAGGTAATTGATCCACTATTACAAATATGCAACCCTTTTTCAAATCAAAAAATTTTTGTAAAAGATATGAATTTTCAAAGTTGAACAATTTTTCACTTAAAAAAAACACACCGTTTTTAGGTAATTTTTCGCACTTCCGGGGGGTTTTTCTTAAAAACTAGGTATCGAATCGCTTTGCTTCTTTTTTCCACGGATTGGAAAATAAAAAAAACTATTTAATACTATTTTTTTTATACTTCCGTAAAACGTTATTTGGACTTTCTTCTTGATATTACGAAAGTTGTAGCTGCGTCCGCCTGCGTCCGCGGTTTTAAGAGCCAAAAAAGGGAAAAAAGTCATGGTCCAAGAAATTGCATATGGCGCAACCTTGTGAAAGATTTGTCCAAAACATGGTTTTAAAGTCCTGAAAATTTTATATGATGTTCAACAGCTCGATATAAGAAATTTTAGTTCTACCACTTTTGGAAAAACTCGCTAGTTTAGCGGGAAAACAGCTATAAATAGCTAAAATACGGAAGGCCGTAACTTCTAAACTACAGAAGCAACAGACTTGTGCTGTATCTCGTTTGAAAGGTTTTTAAAAAAGCTTTAAGCGCCTCCTATATGTAGTTTGTGTAAATGTAATATTGAAAAAGATATGCACAAAACAATTTTTTTTTAAATTTTTTTGTTTAGTTTTTTTTATTTTTCTCGAAAACGGCTCTAACGATTTTCTTTAAAACTTTAAACTGTATAGCCCTTGAGATTCCTTAAATTTTGGTATATATCATGTTACTGTAAAAAATCACGTTTAAATGTTATTCAGAAACGAAAATAGCCACTTTTGCCAGCTCAAAACAACTTACGCTGCCTAAGCATTGAATTTAGTATGTGCGAATCCAAACTGTATTCTAGGGTCATGGAATCACAACCTTGTCACAGAATCTAGTAATTATAGTCCAGAAATGTTAAGTCTATTGGATTTACCAAGTTTACCAAATTGTGACCATTATTTCAAAAAACATGAAATATAAAAATTTTTATTTTTAAAAAAAAACTTTAATTTTTTTTTTTTTTTTTTTTTTAGTTTTTAAAAATTAAAACATAAAAAAATAAACTAAACAAAACGTAATTTTTTAAAAAAAAAAAATTTTTTTTTAATTTTTTTTAAAAATTCCAATTTTTTATTTTTTTTTTTTTAATAAGTTTTAAAAATTACAACATGAAAAAAGAAACTAAAAAAAACAAAAACTTTTTAAAAAAAGTTTTTTTTTGTCGGAAAAAAATGGATTTGTTTTTAAATTCTGACTTTGCCGATTTGTAAGTACGCCTCTGCCACGCCCACTCCCTGTCTCAAGCAATAATTTGAAAGGTGGATCAATTATCTATCATTTGCCGTTTACAAAATTCAATTATCTTCACTGGTTCAAAAGTTATGATTTATTACCAAAAAAAAGTCAAAAGGCGCCACTGTGCGACGACCATCCATTGCTTTCGCAGTGCTATAGTGCCTCCGTTCCTCAGTTTGTCAGTGCCTCAGTTCCTCAGTTTGTCAGCGTATGCCATGCCATGCGGATGTGCTCGCGGATTAATTTCGACTCGAACTCCGGCTCCGTTCTCGACTTTTGACGTAAACCCCGTGCAAGACAAGTGAATTCCGACCCCGGTTGTACGGTTATTTTTGCGCGTTTTTCGAACCAGTGCTAAAAAGAAATAAGGGCAACTACTAAAAGCGGGGGAGGCATAATTTGCACTTACGGTATAAATGCCCCAAACAGAAAGATAAAGAGTATACTTTATGAAAAGTAAAGCCCAGGCAAAGTCGGTACTTTGCCAGATAAAAGCCACATAACATAAAAAGCAAACGTAAATAAGGTCTAAAGACCCCAACAAATTATAATTTGAGAAAATAATATTTTGCGGACCACAAATTCAAAACCCAATCGTTAAGCTAAATAATATTTTGCAAATAAGAAAAATAAGTCCAAACAAAATAAAGAGCAAACGCAAATAGAATAGAGAGATATATTTATTATTTGCCTATAAGGCCAAACTAAATATTTGCCGGCGGCAAATGTTTAAAAGGTGTTAAGTGTTTCGTGGGAGTGAAGTTTTTTAAACAGAAAAAGAATAAATCAAATAAATATTTCACCGGTGTACAAGTGAGCGTATGAAGTAAAGCAACATGTGTGTGTTTTAAAAGTGTTTAAAGAAATCGAAGTAGATACCCGAAAAGTTCTTTGACAGAGATAAAGAGCGATAGCGAAAAATTCCAAAATGTGGCGTCAGATCCTGTTTATTTTACCCACCTTGATACAAGGCGTCCAGCGCTACGATCAAAGTCCCCTGGATGCCAGCCCCTATTATCGCAGCGGCGGGGGTTTGATGTCCAGTTCTGGGACCGAATTGGATGGACTACCCCATCACAATCGCTGCGAACCCATCACCATTTCGATCTGCAAGAATATCCCGTACAACATGACCATTATGCCGAATCTTATTGGACACACAAAGCAGGAAGAAGCGGGTCTGGAGGTCCATCAGTTCGCTCCGCTCGTAAAGATCGGCTGCAGCGATGATCTCCAGTTGTTCCTCTGCTCCCTATATGTTCCGGTCTGCACTATTTTGGAGATACCTATACCGCCCTGCCGATCTCTGTGCGAATCGGCCAGAGTGTGTGAAAAGTTGATGAAAACCTACAATTTCAACTGGCCGGAAAATCTCGAGTGCTCCAAGTTTCCCGTCCATGGCGGGGAGCATTTGTGCGTGGCCGAGAATACCACCTCGTCGGCCTCCACGGCGGCCACGCCCACAAGGAGTGTGGCCAAGGTCACCACCCGGAAACACCAGACGGGCGTGGAAAGTCCGCACCGCAACATCGGATTCGTCTGTCCCGTGCAACTGAAAACACCGCTGGGCATGGGCTACGAACTGAAAGTTGGCGGAAAGGTGAGTTTCCCAATAAAAAAATATAATAAGAACAGTCAGTAAGTAAAGAGTTTTAATCATAATTGGAGGTCAAAAGGTTAAATGGGTCCATACATTTTACAATTAAAATTCACAATTCAGAACTTATTTTGTATAAGAAGATCAATAAAAGTATCCGTCGGGTTTCCTTAGTTTCATACAATATTCCGTCGGAGTTTTAAAAATACAGAAAGAAATTCAAGCATGCTGGTTAATGTTCAACATAAAAATACTGGAAAAACGAGTTTGAATTTTGCATTGTTACGCCCTCACTTGAAACCCTTTAGTTCACATTTCGATTATTCCAGGAAGTTAATATGCCATACTTTTTTTGTTGGCCCCATGTAGGTCAACGAATTTTTTATGTCTTCATTTGAACTCCAGACTCAATTTGTAGAGCAGAGTAGAAGTGTATGGAAAAAATGCATATCCTGTTGCGCCGAGAAAACAATTTCCAACCACCAGGGAAAACAGCAGGAGGTCCTTAACGGGCAAGAAAAGAAAAAAGCAAAAGAGAGGGCACCGACGGACCCGCATTCTACCTGCCCGTATCTCACAAAAGATGGTTAACAACGTCAGGTAGATCGTTTCTTTGGCTTCGGTCGAGGATTGGTAAACTAGTTCTTTTTGGAGTTGTGTAATTTGTAATGCCTGCTTAAAAATATCAGGAAAATAAGAAAACGTAACAAGAACCGAAGAATGTTTAATAACTTGAACCTTTGGGTCAGCCTGTTGCATTTTCACGTTCTTTAATTAATTTTCCACCCGTTTCCTTCAGCATCTTTTTTTCGGGGTCTTAAGTCCCTCAACTCACTGATTTTCCACGATTTATTTTGTGTTTGTTTTGGATGAGTGATCATCATCTATGTGTTTCCAACGTTTTTTTCCTTGTGATTTTTTCTTTAGCTATTTTTAGCCGACACTCTGTTGTTTGCCCGCTGCCATGTGTAAGGCGCATTAAATACTTTGAGGCAGGATAATTCACACTTCCCTCAGCGTCTGGGTATCTGGCGGATACATGTGTATCTTTTAGCTACTTTAGCATTGCGATTCCTTAGCGTACATTTTTTTTTGCTGGCTTTTTCTTGATTGGTCTCGTTTTTTCCTGGCTGTGTGTCATCAGTTCCTCTTGGCCTTCCTTCCTTTTTTCCATCCCCATATCATCATGGCTGTCAGCATCTTTGGTTTAGCCGGAGTCCCGGGAACCCGTGCTTAAATGCCTTTTGAGAGCTGCGTGCGAAATTTAGCAGCTTGTTTGCCTGGATTGCATTTGGCCCACATCACGATTGTCTGAAAGAGTATCTGCAAATGTATCTGTATCTGTGAACGTATCTCTTTGTGTGTTTTGGCCCTGTTTGCCGTGCTTTATGAGCCAGATAGGTCTCTGTGTCTGTTAATGATAATAGCGCGCCGTGTGAGAGCGTGAATTAATGCTTATTGGATTGATAATGATCCGACCATATAAATATATAAAAGCCATGTTAGAAATTAAAGGTATTTACACTCGTTTTACAAGGGCTCTAAAGATAAAAGTTAAGAGGTCTTTATTTATAGAGACCCGCAGTTTAAATACAAATGTTATTTATTTCTTATTTCAAGTTGTAAAAATAATTCATATTTAACTGTATATTTCTTTGCGTATCGGTTGAAGAAGTGATCATTTAAATATCTTTGAAATAAATTAAATGTATTTGTTTTGTATGCAATCAAATCTTTTAATTGCCACTTACCTATTTCGACTCTAATCCGTGAAATAACATTTTCCCTCGACACCTTTAAATGATTTTGATTATCCCAAAGGCACCTCTTAAAAGTTTGCCTGTAAGCCAAATATTAAATATTAATTCCATTCATCTTGGGCTAATTTCTCAATTTTCACTTTTTCCTCCCTCCGTTTTCTCGATTGGCTTGTCAATCAGACCTTTTTGACTAAATTAACCAGTCACTCTTGTTGAAACTTGTACAAACAAAAATCTGGCATACAAAATATGTAATTTCGCAAATCAATTACCCAAACCAAAGGGCAAAATACGGCCGGATGAATTAGAGTCAGAAATGCTGAATGGAATTAGGTGGAAATTCTCTCAGTCTGTGCTGAAATAATCATAGGCGAAGGGCCGTAGGGCATGAAAAACATCAACCCTTTGCTCGCTTTTCACAGCCCTTTTTCTTGGCCTTTTCTTGCCCCGAATCCATTACGCAAAGGCAGCAGTGCGAGGCTGGAAAATCTGTTTTCCGTCTGAGAGGAAACTGAGTGGAAAGCCAGCAGTCATAAGAGGGCACAATCAATTACGGATTCGTCCACAATTAAAAGTCCTGGTCGGGGCTGTCTCCTCTCTGGATGAATCAATTTGGGGCCTACAAATAATCCCCAAATCGGAGTGATTCTACCTTCCCTATCCCCCTCTAAATGCGTCAAAAGCGTTCTAAATGAGGCTTTTAATGGATTTACGATTTCCTAAACAACCAAACTGAAATCCTTCCCTCCCGTCCACAAAACTAAACTGTTGTCCTTTCGCGCTCTTTGATTAATTTATTTTTGCCTGCCATGGGTTAGATGGTGTTTGCAATCGGGACTCGGGCATTGTGGGTTAAGGTGGGCGACGGGTGGTGGGTGTAGAGTGTCTGGTTGCCCAGTTGTCTACACATGTAGCCATCAGTCGGGCATTGCCCCTCGGTAATCTGTGTGCTCTGAAAAGGTTTTGACGTCATCTAATGGTATACGTTTCGGAGGAATTTGCCACGGAAAAGGGATAATGATGGCCGGAAGTAAATGGGAAGTTGAGTAGGATATTGGACAAATACTAGGGATGCTGCGTTCGGAAAATGTAGACACTTAAACAGCTGAAGCAAATAGTAATATTAAATCAATTGGGTAAATATGCTGGGATTTCTAAGAGGTTACTTTTTTAATTATCTTTTTTATATTTTATGTCATAATAATATATTGAGAATATTGCTTAGAACCGGATTGGAATATTCAAAATTATAGAACATTTAAAAAAATGTATAATCATTTATGTATCCACGATTTTTTTCTAATATTAAAGAAGACTATTAGACGATTAAAAATACCTAACAATGTACATCATGATGTACACTAACTAATCCCTAAACTACTCTGCTTTATTTTATTGACCCGACCTCTTTTGTTCTCTGCCAGTTATCAACATAATCATCGGCAGCTCATCAGCAACAACTCACCGTTAAGCCCTGAGATAATCTCTCTCTGGATTTTCCACCCAACCTCCTTGTATTTCCTTTAGCTATCTGTGCAATTTATCCCTCAAATTGGTCCTTAATATATGTAGCGAGCTATGGCAGAGGCTTTTGTTGTTTTTGCCATATCTGTTTGTCTCCATTAAAACTATAATCCACTTTATATTTCACGCTCGAGCTGTTCAATTTATAACCAATAAATGTTAAGCCGATGACGATTATTTATTTATTTTTACACGGATCTCTTTTTGCCCCCCGCCAATCGTGGGGAAATTGCAACAAACGCGTTTTCAACTCAATTAATTCGCCGGGGAAGGGGAAAATCTACTTCCGGCTACTTAAGCACAGACAAACAATGATACAGGATACAGGATGAGGGCCGGAGAAAAGCTAGCGTGTCCTGTAAATCCATAAAAATGACCAGAGAATGGGAAAACAATTTATCCCCACACGCTTTTCTGCCCCTCATCGTTTTGTTGGCTGGCCTGAAGCAAAGCGATAAGGACAACAAAATCGTTTTGGCCATGGCAAGGCAATGTCCTGCAGGACATTGTAACTGTGTCCGATGACAAGGCAAAATCCAGTTGACCAAGTGACAATCAAGAACGAAAGTAAAAGCTCAAAAATAAAATATTTACCAAGAAACTAAAAATATTTTCATTCATCCACTTGTGAGAGACCCACACAGAAAACGCTTTAGAGCTGAGGTTACCACTCGTAGATTGACAATAATTCCCGGGCACCGACTTTTATGACACAACTTTGAGCCGCCCACAGAAGTTGATTTTGTTTTGAAATATATGTATTTTCATGCTCCATGCATCGAACTTGGAGCCGAATTGTTAACGAAATGCTAATGCTTGGCTTTGACTTTTGCCTGACAGCGGGCCAGTTATATATGTTTAAATATTTAATTACTGCCAGCCGCTTAATGACAGTCCATTTGGCGGACAGCACAGGCCATTTTATCATTTGCTTTAATAACTCTGGCTAACCGCACCCCAAAAATGCAATTCACAATTCAGTTGTCACCTTTTTCGGTTCCACAAAATGTTTTTTCTCTGATTTTATTTTGCATTTACTAAAACTAAATGCTGGCTGGTCGGGTATTTTTTGTGTTGGCTGTTTTGTAAATGCGACACAAAATATATCTAAGCAATTTACACCGAAAGTGTTGGGGTTGATGTATCTATACAAATAATTCAACTGCACGTAATGTTTCTGTTTTAGTTTGAAGAATAGAGGAATTTTTGGACAATTCAGAACTGTAAGTTGATTCAATATGGTTTTAGTTACTTTAAATCCGTTTAGTGTTAAATGAAATTAGTATAGATATTTTTTAAAAGGTAGAAATTGACTAATTAATGACAAAAATTCCTGTAATATATGAGTAACCTTTTTATGCTGAAAAATCTTTATCTAAATTTGAGTAAAAGCTGCACCATTCACACTAAAAAAAACCGTGTATTTGCGTTTCAATTTTCGCAAAACTTTTCTGTTTCCCTCCGAGCGATTCCCGCTTTTGTTGGACGAACTAGAGCATGAAACTGAAACACATATTCGCCCATATTGTTTGTCCCTTTTAATCATAGAACTAACACCCCGTTCTCTGAACTAAGCCCCCGTCAGAGCACACAGAGGTAAAGCCCCTCGAACCGAACCTACATCGGTGCCATTCACATCTTTTTGTTGGGCTCTTGCCACAGGATTCTTTCAATGAAGTGGCTTTCATTTGCACCTACGTGCACCGCAGTGCTCCACTT